CGCGAGACACCTGTCGCCGTCTCCAGGCTTTGAACTTCTTGCTTTTCTCTTTGTGGCGCAAGAGAGCGAGTCCTCCTTATCTCTGGGGTCTCCTCTTTATCTTATATTCTTAATTGCTTTCCTTCTCTACCGTTATCATTATTATTATCATTATCATTATTATTATTATTATTATTATCATTATTATTACTATTTTTATTATCATTATTATTACTATTTTTATTATTATTATAATCCTTATTATTATTATTATTATTACTATTATTATTATTATTATTATTATTATTATTATTATTATTATTATTATTATTATCATTATTATTATAGTAGTATCAATATCATTATCATCATCATCATTCTTATCATTATAATCATTAGCGTTATCATTAGTAGTAGTAGTAGTAGTAGAAATACTTTCATATTCATTATCATCATTATCATTATTATGATTATCATTGTTACTATTATCTTAATTATCATAATTATTATTATTATTATTGTTGTTGTTGTTGTAGTTGTTATTACTATTATTAATATTGTTATTATTATTATTATTATTATTATTATTATTATTATTATTATGTTATTATCATTATTATGTTATTATTATTATCATAATAAATATTATCATTATCAATATTACTATCATTACCATTATTATCATTATCATTGTTATCATTATCATACTTATTGTTATAATAATTATCATTATTATAATTATCATTATTACTGTCATCATGTTTATAACAATTATTAATGTCACTGTTAACATTTTTCGCAGTTAACGGTTTTTCCTTTTCATTACCACTTACTGTCTCCATCTCCTCTGCCATAGCCTTTCATCCTCTTCCTCAGCTTGCCTCCTCATCTGTCGCCCTTCTATCTCGCCTTTTTTATCTCCTTCTTGTATTTCTCCCTCCTACCTCCTACGTCTTCCCTTTTTCACACCCCTTTTTACACTTCCCCTTTTCCTCCATTCGTCATCTCTCTCACTGAAGGAATACACATTGACGAAAATTTGACCTGTAAGGCTCAATTTGACACTGACTTATTAAGATTCCTCTAGTCTCGCTAAGAGTACAAGATCCTTATTCGAAACATATAAACACATTAAAAACATTTCCAGTAAAAATGCAGATATGATAATTGCATACTCATAAATACATAAATACAAGAATGACATACACACTGGCTGTTACCTTTGCAAACAAGGATCAAGATGAAAGGTGTCCAAACAAGCAGTTAAGTTTACTTCTTACATGTCAAAAGCCATAGAAAGAAAAATAAACATGACCGTTGACCTGGAAACTTATACCTAAATGTTAGAAACATTTAGTCTGATTACTTTCTAAACAAAGTTAAAAGAGCATATTCTAATCATTAAGGCCATCGGGCATTCAAAAAGATCAAACAATGTATCATATTTACTTACGATATGAATGTCTCCTTTTTCTGCATATGTACTTGTACGATATAATTACAATCTATGTAAAAAAAAAAGTGATTGTGATTAAAAATATGAAGTGTTTCGAATCTGAATTTGAATTGAATTTCAAGACTCTTTTGTTCTATCCTCACCCCCATCGCGTTCCTCTCTTCATTTCTTCATCCCTCCCCCTCCTCCTCCTCCTCTTCATCTTCCTCCTCTTCATCTTCCTCCTCTTCATCTTCCTCCTCTTCATCTTCCTCCTCTTCATCTTCCTCCTCTTCCTCTACCCCTTCCTCCTCCTCCTCCTTCTCCTCCTCTTCCTCCTCCTCCTCCACCACCTTCCTCTTCTCCTCCTCCTTCTCCACCACCACTACCATCCTGTCCCCCTCTCTCCGTTTTATTCCATTATTCTTCTTCTCCCTCCTTTTACCTCTTCCTCCACCTTTCCCTTCCTCCTTCCTCCTCAACCCCTCTACCTCTCTCCGTCTTCCTCCTCCTCCTCCTCCTCCTCCCCAACCCCTTTCCCTCTCTCCGTCTTCTTCCCCCTCCCCCTCCCCCTCCCCCCCCTCCCCTTCCCCCTCCCCCTCCCCCTCCTCCTCCTCCTCTTCCTCCTCCTCTTCTTCTTCTTCTTCCTCCTCCTCCTCCTCCTCCTCCTCCTCCTCCTCCTCCTCCTCCTCCTCCTCCTCTTCCTCCTCCTCCTCCTCCTCCTCCTCCTCCTCCTCTTCCTCCTCCTCCTCCTCCTCCTCTTCCTCCTCCTCCTCCCCCTCCTCCTCCTCCCCCGTGTTACACCTACCAGGATCGTGTATCTGAGTGAACCGGGATTATCTGCAATTATCTTGTCCCGAAGCTCACGTAAAGGAAGTGTGAAATGAGAGGATTGAGGGTGGAAGACAGGGGAGAAGGGAAATAAAGAGGAAAAGAATACAATGAGAAAGAGCAGAAAGGAGAGGAAAATAAAATAAATGGAAAGGGAGAAAGAAGAGGGAGACAAATTGGATATATCAGGATGAATAGTTTTTTTTGAGAAATAAGGACATAAGTAAATTCAAAAATGGAAACACGAGAAAGAAG